AATGTTTAGTGTCAATGTTACCAGTGCATGAGTTCAGCCAGCGCGTTCAGTTTTTTTATTGTGCCACTTATGTTGTCAATGAGTTTTAAATTATTTCCATCTCATCTAAATGTAATTATTAAATGGACAATGAGAAATAGACTTGACCGTAATGAAGTCGCTCAGCATTTCACTTTGCCCGAGAATCAGGAACAAATATATTCTGATAGTTGAAACTAGTATAAAATGCACACATTATCCACTGGTACAATCTTCTAATGTTACCAGTATTAAAAGCCCTTGTATGGGAACTGCACAAGAAATAACAATTTGTCTTAGTTTTTCCACATGCATCACTAAGCCGACTTTACTGAGGTCAGTTTGTGTCCCGTGTCCAACCCCCATCCAACCTCACAAATATATAAATCAGTTCAAATCTGTAACATGAACTGTACTTTCTTACTGGACTGCTTTAAAGGTGTGTACTCTACACATGTGTAAACACACAGATTAGTTGGTTGGTGTAGAATGCTCATGCTGATTCTGGTAGTACGACAATACAAATGATACAAAAGTTGACATGGCTATAGTTCTTCTATTTAACCACTTACTGAAAAGTTTACTCATTGATCAGATACAGATTTTATTATGATTGCCCTCAATTGGTTTACTCTATTCCTAATGAGATGTATACCTGACTGTGCTTTACGCCAAATGAACTATCGGTCTGATTACTAATGGATTATTAGGCTGCATGTAAACATACTGTAGCTGAGAGATGGGAGTGAATGCTAAAGATCACTTCAGATCAAGTTGCTTATAACAGTGCTGGTGATTTAACTCTCTGTGTTCATCTAACCAAACAAGTAATGATATGTAAACTTACCTTTAATTAAGCCTCATCGTGTCCAAATGTGTTGATCAGATTATGTGTAAACATATATTATATATGTAAATATGTAGCATATATATTTGCTATATGCAAGGAAGCAATATTCACAAATAATGCATAATGCATTTTAATGAACTTCTATTTGATCACTTTTAATATGAGCCTAAACTCAGCTAGTAGCAGGTCACCAATGATGTATTGACAGACAATCAAAAGAACAAAAGGACTGAACAACTGTCTGAAACTCTCACAATACAATACAAATTGTGGAGAGATTTCTAAAATAGCAGCAGGTCATCTATTCAGTTCAAGCAGAAAGAACAACTCATGCCAGAAGATTTAAATATTACTGTTGGTGAAGCTGTAAAGGAAGTAAAGTCCTGTTAACTCTTTCACTGATGTCCTAATAATATTTTAATCATATTTTATACTACTTGTATTTAATTGCCATTTGAACTGGCTTCTGAATAAGTGCACTACCTTTAGTACATAGTTAACTTAACTTTTAACTTTTGTTCTTAACTATTGTATTTTTAAAGGAGATTAAAAACAAAACAACAACCAAAAAAGATTTTATTATGGCTATTCATTTGCATGAATTAACACTCAGTTTTGTGTCTGTCACTGGTATTGAAAATGGCATGAAGTACTATAGCTTTTCAAAGGATTGTGAAGTTAGAAATTTCAGTTACTGTGAGCGCAGGTGTGTATGTGTAATGTTTCTAAAGTACAAACTGTGTGTAATGCAAAGCTTTAATGTCTGTGTAATGGGTGACAGATCTGTAATACTGGATAGGGTAGATATAAGCATGTGAAAGTAGGTGTGTATTGTCTACCTCAGATCCCCCACAACTGTTGTCCTGCTCACTTGTGTCTGAGCTTCTACGGACAGAAGTAGAAGGAAATACTTTAGCATCTCCTTTTTCTGAACCTAATAAAAAGACACAACAACAAATTATGCCATGCCTGCAAATACTAAATGTAGAGATCAGTAGTGTCATTATTCTTTACTCCAATATGAGGTGCTCATTTTCCCTAACTAGGTAAACTAGTATAGACAAAACATATATTGTATTCCATGTCCCTTCACTTTTACACAAGCAATCTCAAACCACACGAAGTATTAGAAGGGGTTTGTGGCATCACCCACATGTCCTATCGTAGATAGCACACACACACTGACTCAACCTGAGAAAACCAACAACAGCCTGGTCTGCTAACTGCGAAGATGTTTTTGATCATCTGCTATTTCCTTTGAGAGAATGTGTGACATAAACCCATGTGTTGACAGCACTGTGTCCTGATGATTTATGTCACACTATTGCCAAGTGATAACACTGGTCTACAAGGAGAAAGCCTCGGAAATGAAAGTAGCTAAATTTTACCAGAATTGGGTCACTAATAAAGGAAAATTAAGTCCTGAGTGTTAATTGGCTCCAGTTTCCAAGATACAGCTTCAGGTCAAAATTGCATAAAAATAATTCAAAATTAGAAAGGAGGTGTGCGATTATGCTCCATAACTTTTCTGCAAAATGTGATACAGTAATGAGAGTGGTGTCACACCAATCATTATAAATGTATCTTTTTTATTGATACCAATAACATAACTTTCCATTCATTTATTGTTTTTTTCCCATGTAATATTTTCATGCTTTTTTCATGAAAAACTGACCGAATTGTGGGTGGGTTGGTCCCATTGCTGTGTACCTTCCCAAACTGTTAATACAGTTTTAAAGCTTACGAAATATAATGTGAATATCAGATAATTACAGAATACTAGCTCTAACATCAGATTAAACGACAAGGTGCCATCTTTATTCTCTATCTAAACGGTGCTTTTTGGCTTGTCTCTTGTGAACTGCAGTAGGATCATCCCTGGAGAGATTCCAGCAGTAATCGGCAAGCATGGATGGACTCCATTTCCCACTCTCCATGCTCATCACTCACTGCCCCACAGTTCAAAGGGAAATAGTCTAAATACGAGTGTAAGAAGTGAATTTTCAGTGACATGTTTGCACCAAGTGCTTTAGAGGAGCTAAGCTAATTTTCCACAAAGTTACGAGGCATCATGATCATTAGACACCCCCCTCAATTGTAGGCAAATATACTCGCTTGTATATAGATAATTATAAATCTTTATCATGAAATATCTTGAAAACTTTAGCCAACCAGCACCTTTATCACCTGTTTTCTAATTCATCTAATCAAAATATGTAAGAATTAGCACATTTTATCTTGGAGGTCGATAATTTCCCAAAATTTATAGACCAGTGTAATCAGAGTCAGCTCAAGTTTCCTCCAGTGACAAGTCAACATACACTGCACACATTTTGAGGCATCGTTTAACCGATAATACATCGCATCAGGTAGCAACTGAATGAATATTACAATTTGTCGAAAGCTACAAAAAAGCAGTATATTCAGAACATGCTTTAAGAGTGATCAAAATCAATGTTATATGCACAGAACAGAATCCACATTTCTTTAAAAACAAAAGTTACTTACCACCACTGCTGGCATTCGGATCATGCGTTTTACAATATAACCTAAAGGAAATAAAAGTTTTCTTTCTAAATTACAGACTACATCATTTTAGTAAAACAAGATTTTTTTTTTTCAGTAAGCATGGCCATTATGGGATTGTGGTTTCTTACCTGAAGATACCCTTGTTTTGGTCCTCCTCGGATATTGCATTAGCCTTATGGGCACACGGGTAATGGTAGGAGCGCTTACAGGATTTAACCTCACACCCAGCTGTAGCTCCATTTTTCTTACAGTAGGAACATTTCTGGGTATAGGAAGAACATTATACTTGAATCACTAATATATAAACTATATATTATAATAGATATAAATATATATTCTGTCTGCAATCTGCAGCCCTTTTTTAGGTACATCTACTGTATAGGTCAAACATAGGTGACCAGCTGTGCTGGGGATGTTAAACACATGAAGGTAAGTAAAGGTAAAATTCAGACAATTTCAGTACATCCCTAATAAATGTAGTAATCTGATACTAGTTTCTGAACTGATAAACAGTTATATCTTTGGTGTGTGTGTGTGTGTGAGAGAGAGAGAGGGAGAGAGAGAGAGAGAGAGAGAGAGAGAGAGACATACTAGTTTTCTTCCTCTTTTACACTCTTTTAACACGTCCTCCACGTCAAAGCCGAACAGGTCATCAAAGGTGGGAGAGTTTTTACAGTAGATTCCAGATGCATACAGCTGAGAGACAAAGACACATAGAAATTAAAACATATAATGAAGTGAAGTGAAGTGACTTGTGGCCAAGTATGGTGACCCATACTCAGAATTTGTGCTCTGCATTTAACCCATCCAAGTGCACACACACAGTAGTGAACACACACACACCCGGAGCAGTGGGCAGCCATTTTAGCTGCGGCGCCCGGGGAGCAGTTGGGGGATCGGTGCCTTGCCCAAGGGTCTCACCTCAGTCGTGGTATTGAGGGTGGAAGAGAGCGCTGGTCATATAATCGATAACAGACAATGTGTTCTAAACAGATCAAATGCAAACAGGAGACATACTATTCGCACTATTTGTCAGATATGAACCTTGTGGGACAAAGAAAGACAAAGTTCATCAACATGAACATGTGCCGCTGCGCAATGCATTTATAGCGTTCATCCCGATATCCTTAGTAACTGCCTGGTTCGAGGTTGCGGTTAGTTTAATGTAGGCTACTGGGTTGTTTGTACTTTTGGAAGTATAAGGATCTAAATTATTTCAAAAATATAACTGGCAGGTACAAACAAAAATAATAACTGGTTAAAAATCTAATGCACAATTTAGTTGACACTAATCATGAGTTCATTTGAAGTAGCTGAGGTTGTGGAACTGTGGCATCAGAGCTAGAATTCATAGGCCATGCTGGAATTTCTACTCCTGTTTTAAATAAATAAATAAATAAATAGGGGCATCCATCCATTCTCCTTATCCTACACAGGGTCATGGGGAGCCTGGAGCCTATCTCAAGAAACTTGGGGCACACCCTAGATGGGGTGTATTCACATACTACAGACAATTTGGAAATGGCCATCAGCCTACAGCACATCTTTGGACTGGAGAAGGAAACCCCTGGGGCACGGGGATAGTGTGCAGGCTCCATGCACACAGGGCGGAGGCAGGAGTTGAACCCTGAGCCCTGCAGGTACGAGGCAGGCGCGTTAACCACTAAGCCACCGGCATGTAGTTCCAGTTTACTTACAAACAAGCAAACCGAAACAGCCGACGTAGGCCACGCCCACTTCAGGTTTACCTGTTCATCCGGATAGTTTTTTTTGGTTCTCGGATATTTAGAACACTAAATAGAAACAAATAATGGCACTCCTAATAATAGTTTAACTAGCTTTGATCTAAATGATTTACTTAGTCGTTTAATTATTACGAACAATTTTACAGAAAGATGTAAAAACACATGCATTCATATAATCCATGCAGGTGTGTGCTAAACACGCAAACTAACTCAACTTACCAAACAGTTCTGGTGGGCAGCAGTTCCCTTTTTGCGTGACAGGGGGCCTGTGATTTTTTTCTCATCCGCCCTCTTACACAGGACACAGCACAGACCTGAGGACGGAGAACTCCGCTCTTCTGGTCGCATCGCAGTAACGCACTAAAACACCCTCTAATGTATTGTACCCAAACCCACCGAGCACCGACACCGCTTTCGCTTTCCAACCTTAATGCTGCCTTCACGTGCTGCCGGAATTCTCCTCCTACCCACTTCTGCGGTGGTAATTACGAGTAGGTCGTCTTGAGGGGTCATTCATGTACAACTGCCTACTGGGAAACTCGTATTTACGATAATTCCTATAGCACGTGAAGGAAGCATAACCCGCTATTCCTATTTTTTTCCTTTACCTTTAATTTGACATCATAACACATATAACTCAGTTAGCTAGCTTGCTGAAAATAAGGGAATTTTGGTGAAATACAAGCTATTTTCACGGTGTAAAAATGTACAGCATGTATGGAATGGTTGCTGATATAGTACATGCATAAATATAACCAAAACGGCAAGCGCCAAAACAACTAGCTGCGTTTAGAAAAATGAACAAAACCTGTCACTCAGTACAGAAACTGTTCTCTCCTCCGCTATGGTGAAAGTTTAGGACTCTTCCCATCTACTCGGGTACCTCCGAGTTTCCCAGTCGTAATTACGACTTGTGGGGTCATTCGTCTGCAACTTCCTAGCGGGAAACTCGTATTTACGATAATTCCGATAGCACTTGAAGGCAGCAGAAGCCACTAATCCTCGGCAGCGCACTTTAGGATTCGTTTCCTCCGCTACAGAGTGCCGCAGGGATAACCCGGAAGTTAGCGTCACTCTGGTTCCCTCGACAAAAAACCAATAGGATTTTTTTCCATTTGCTTTTGGGTTATTGCAGAAAATAAGCTCTGTGACCAACAAACGATTATGATTCTTACATGTTTTGTTCATCAAGATAATCTTCACAAATGAACACAACTTTTATGAATTCTGAAGCCTAAATACAATCGCCAGAAGTAAAATGCTAAAGTTAAGCTCTAAAAGAACTACACCACGGTCGCATGACTTCAACGTCACCACCACTAAGCTTCCGACAAGTCTTTAAATCTTTATTTTAAAAACATGTTCCCTCATAAGGATCCACTGGGCTCTTTTTGTGGATGAATCTGCCCCTGCCTTTTTTTGGGGAATGTGTCCATGTTGATTTATTTTGGAGAAAATTCTGTTTGTTTGTACGTGTAGTGGATGAGTTTTCCTGTTCGGCGTGATGACGTTTAATGTCCATGACAACCTCTGTAGTCCCGTTTAGCGGATTGTTAGCAACCGCCTTTTTCAAGACACGTAAAAGCGTTACAAAATTACGAGTGGGGTATTGCTGATGTATTTTATGTCATATAACAAAACATAAAAATATATTGAGCTTGTGTTAACCACAGACCTTACGTCAGGCATTTACCCAAAAACACATAAAAAAAAAAAAAAACATTGACTTCGGGACGATAGAACCGGAAGTGCTAAAATGATAACTAATTTCCGGGTTTTAGGACTCATTCCTGCGGCACTCTGTACTACTATACTACCAGCTAAGCCTGATAAAGTCCGTGTTATTATAACAGTAAATAAAATTAAGCGTATTTTACTTTTTTTTTTTGCGAAAATTATCCAGCAGCACTAAGCGAGCATGACCATATCAAACACGAAGCATGTCATTGGGTTGCCAAAGCTGCGTAGCGAATCCCACTGGCCAATCACAAGACCAAAATTCAAAATACGTCCCTCCCACTGATATAAAATCCAATAACATTCTCTATTCACACACGTACACTATGCGCATACAAAATATTAATTTTATTTTAAAATTAGTTTTATTCATTAAAATTTATTTATTCAGCATTTCATTCGTGTTCAGTAAATGGTTTATCTTTGTCAGGGCTTGGACCGGTCCTATTATTAATTTTTTTCATCGCTGGTTTATTATATGTTGTTTTTCCTTCATGACACTGGCTTTGTAATGTGATACAATTCGATTCTCAGAATATTTTAAACAAATTTTTAATGAAGAAAATTGACTGAAAAGACTCTTTTAAAAAATTATATATTACAGTGCAAAACAATGTGCATTTTTGTCTGAATTTTTGTCTTTTCTTCCAAAAATTTGATTGAATAAACAAAGACTCTGACCTGATTGATTGAAACATAATGAGCTCTGTAGCAGTGCCTGAGACACCAGAAATAGAGCTCCAAAGTCGGCTAAAATGCTTGATTTCTGTGCTTGACTTCCTGAATTCTGTGTCTTTTGACTGAAGAGCTCTTTTTCACATGGATGTGTAAACATATAACCTATACAGTGTGTCGGTCATTGTGATCTGGAGATATTGGTTATGGCGCAGGCTCTCCACGAAAGAATGCGATCAGCATGCTCTTTATATTGGGATCTCTGGTGTTCAAAGTGCAATTGCATTTGATGCATAATTATTAGAATGCTGATTTCTATATTGTGAATCACACATTCCCATGCGCACATTTTTGCAGCACATTGTTACATCCCTAGAGTCCGGGTCCGCATCACACTTTCAGGTGGTCAAAAATGGAAACTGCAACAAGTGCTAACAGAGGTCCCCTGCTTGCTCTAGCAGAGGAGGAGCAGTGGACAGGACAGTTAATGACAGGGTTGACAAATTGGACTCTTTTTTATAGAAAATAATTGGAATTAAATCTAATAGGTTTCTGCAAACAAAGGCAGAGTTTAAGTGCATACAGGGTGCCTATGGCCCTACTCAGTCCTGGCATGTGTACTGGGTGATCTGAATGTAAGTGGACAGTGCTATGTATAAGTGTGAACAGGGTCCAATTCATCTCGACATTCTGCCTGAAAATAAATGCAGTGGAAGATGGGCATAATAAACATGCAAGACACCCTTCCTCCTGTGGAAACGGTGTATGAAATCCAAGCACAAGTGGTCAGTGGAGATGCATTCATTATGCCCGGTGTAAACGGCTTTGTGTTTCAGCTCTCCACTTGGATCACTCAAGATGGATTTTTTAATACTGGGTGTGAACAGGGCCTATGATGTACAAAACTATTTCTAATGTTGCAAAGATAGGCAATGGAGGATTATGGAATGCATATTATAGCATTATAGATTATGGATAGCATATTTTCAAATGCCTGAACTTTTGGGCTAGTTTTAGGTCTTTTGAGGATGAGAAGCCCACCTGCTATATCGAATACAGCTGAACAAACATATGTCTAAAACTGCTCAGAATGAGCTGCTAGACTCTATGCTGGATATATATGTATACTGGATATGTTGTTGAGCTGCTAGACTGTATGCTGGATATGCATAAGCAATTTCCCCCTGGGATTAATAAAGTTCTTTGAATCTTGAATGTATGTATGCTGGGTATGTTGCTGACTCTCAACTGCATATTACAGGATTAAAGCTAAAAAAAATCACTAGATTGTAGTCTATAGCATAAGATGAGTCAAGTGTAAATGACTCTTGACTTAATTTTGTTTCATATCTGTATTTGTATTTAAACTGGAAGTGGGCTTGGTCTATACTGGAATTGTTTTAGTTTTTTAAATGGGAAAAACACTGAAAAACATGAATACTGGAAAAATAAGTCATTTCATTCACAAAATATAACAACAAATAGCAATTTGCAGTAAAACAACAATGTACTTCCCACATCAGGGAACTGATGTTTATAGTTGACAAGAGCTTTGAATTTAAATGGGGTTAAATATGATTGGCAGGGAAGATTTTTTTTTAAAGTAATGATGAAGAAGGGTCATTTAAGAATGAAAAAAAACCCAGTAACAATTAATTTGCAGGTTAATATATATTTTTAAATTAATTAAATTATTATTTTTTGGAGACCCTAACAGAGATATGTAGGTCTATTTGTATCTGTAAGCCTATTTGTATCCCTGTTTGTGTCTGTTTATTATCTGTCCTATTTGAATGTATTCATATTTAGTTACACCCGCAAGGGGTAGAATTGGCAGCACTGTCAGCATGGTGTATGAATTCTGCCCCTGACATTTCTACAGTACATAAGTTCATAATTGGTCTCATCTAGAGATGCATTCAGTGTTAATAATCCTTCTTCTTCTTCTTCTTCTTTTGATTATTTTCGTGCTTCCACTAGGTTGTGGAGGCATTATGTTTTCAGCTTGTCTGTGCATCTGTGCATCCCTCTGTTCATCTGTCTTTCTAAGATATCTTAAGAATAAGTGGTTGAATATTTGTAGGATTTTTATGGAATTTTCATTGTAACTGGGACATGAAGTGATTATATTTTGGAACTGATCCAAACAGAGTCAAGTTCACAGCAAGGTGAAATGTCTGAAAGGACTTGTTTTCAGCAGAGGCATCTCTGTTGAGGTCACTGGTGTCAAGTTCTACTTGTTTAGTTATTATTTATGTTTGTACCTCACTTGCAAACTCTAGTGAAATCAAAGAAACAGATTGAAATATCAATGCAAATAGAGTTTAAACTTCAAACTAATGAGTAGAAATGGTTCTCTATTTGAATTAAGCTAATCTCTCATGCCAAGAATCAGAATAGAAGCATGTGTGTCCCTCTGTTTTTCTCACAGCCACCAGAGCTGTGGCTGGGAGCTATTGGCATTAACTTGGCAGAACATGCGTATCCCTCCATTGCCCTCCTGCCACTGACATATTCTCAT